CCCCAAAACCCCAAAACCCCAAAACCCCAAAACCCCTTCATGCTTACTTAGTATTGAGTTTAATTTTTATTGCTGAGTTATGGTGAAGCTTTGTCACTCATAGTTTGTTCAATTTCCTCAAAAAGTTCATTACCAATTGTCCTCTTTCTACCCATACTTTGGTTTTCCATAAGTTTATCCATCAGTGAATGTGATAGAGCTCATTGAAGGAATTGGTTAAAGTTGATTTTAACATCTTCTGTAAGGATATTAGTCCCATCAGATCCTCCAGCAGTCATTTCAAAGATAGCAATAATTTTCCACCTTGGCTTATCAGGGTCGATCTTCTTTATCAAATCTGTGAACTCGTAGTAGTCAATGTAGCCATCACCATTAGCATCAGCTGACTTAAACAGCTTTGAATAGAATGATTTAGCAGTCTCATAGAACCTAATAGCTGTACGTAGCCCTATTGACAAGAATTTTCGAATAGGAATCCTTAGTTCATGAGTCTGCCTCAAGAAGTTCTTGGTGTCCTTATAAGAGTAGTTCTGTAGTGTCCCTTCAATGAGGTCTTCCTTAATAATTTCAGGGAGTAAGGCTTCAATATTACTAGTAAACTCAGCTTTGTCATCATCGTTCCTTGCTTTGTTCAGGATGAACTTTCTGATTCTCTGGTATTCCTTGTTGACAACCTGAACCTTGCCATCACAGTAGAAGTTAGACTCATAGATCATGGAGATCAAGATTTCTTGCTTCATAAGAGTAGAAGCGTTGCTGAAGACACCCTCCAAAATGTTCCTATAAGCCTTTTCAATAGCTAGGGAGAGATGCTCAGACTCTTCAGAGAGGATCACGGAGAAGCTCTCTTCGGTACACTTCATGGACTTGATGTACAGCTCAAGGATCTCTGATGGATACTTATTTGGGTTATCGAACCCAATAAATTTCTTAAATTCGTCCATTCTTTCATCAGTAAGAGCATACTCACGGAGGCCTAGCAAAAATTGCTGGCACTTTATTTTAATTTTCTTCTTGAATAGAAATCTTTGTTCAAAAATGCTATACAGGATATCTTCAAAGTTCAGCATAGAGTTGTTCTGAGAAGCGATACTCTCTGCCTTCTTAATATAAGCAGAATGCATGAAATCTGATACTTTATCCTTCGGCATCGGAGAGTCGACGACTTTGTCCTCCTCAAGCTTGTGGATTATCGACATGAAAGGCTTTAATTTACTAGCAATTTTTGCTTCTAGGATCTTCTCAGCCACTATTGTGAATGGGACATTCTTACAATTCACGATGGTCTGCACACTTTTCTCAACCATAGGAGGTTCCTTAAACTTATTGTTCAGCTTAACATTGATGGCATAAAGCTCCTGCTTTATACTGCAAAGTTCTTTATGCTTATTAGATTTTTCCTAAATGTTACCTAAAGTTCATACAATTTTGAGTTTTTCAAACTGAGTGTAAAGCTTGTAGTGAGTCTCTCTAAGCTTATCGAGCTCAGTTTGAATGTCAACCATTTGCTCTTCACAAGCTTTCTTCTTGATAATCACTTGCTCAATGACGTCTTGAACCCTAAGAAGAGGTTAAATGAAATAATACCAATGGTTTAACTCTCCAATGGCATGCTTGAATCTGGTTTTCAAATCCTTGAATGACATTTTGTCAGCTACAAATTATTCAAGAAAGCTTACAACTATCAGGAGTTCGTACAGTCATATAGCCTTGACTATTGCGCTTGCCGCGCTTCATCATTGGTTCAAGGTCTGTACCAAACAGGAGGAACTCAATCTTATCTCTTACTGTTTTGAGGAGGGATAAGTGGCTCTCAACTAGATTTTGAAGAGCTAGTTCTTCATCAGAGATAGGATTTATTTCGTTAGGTTGATCTTTCTAAATAAAATTTGGTTTTATGAAATTTTTAGGATTTAGAGTATAGATATGATGGTTTAGATAACTTTAAAGGTGTATAGAATTGAATTCGGAATCTTTTAAGTGGTTATAAATTTTTGAGAGATAAGGGGAAGTTACATACTAAATTGGTAGGAGGCTGAATTCCATTCTTTTTGAAATAAAGTTTTAGCATTATACGAATAACTGAGATGGTCTTTGCTGCATTTTGACAATTTAGTAGTTTGGAGTATATTTTGAAGAGAATGGAAGGAGTTGGATTTGGCTTTATCACAGATTTCATCTCATTCTCAATAAGTGCCTGGCTTCTGCTCTTAATATATTTTGCCCTGAATTTATTAGATTTTTCTAAATTCTCAATATCTTGCTTAAATTCAGTAAAGATTGGAATCTTAGAGACTTCTGCAAACATTGCATCATCAATCTTCTTTTTATAACTTAAGGACACTGATTTATCTGCTCTATCAATGAGCTGGGTAATATATACCCCATCTGATAACTTAATACCATTTTTCATGCCTATAGATTCAAACTAATTCAGCTCCTCATACCCAACTCGTGAGCCCTTGGGGCCAAAGATCCATGCCAAAGTCCAAAAAAACATAATTTTGAAGTAATGTAGCTTACTTTTCAGAGGTGGGAGGCCATCCTTCAAATTAACAGTGTTCATAAATAAATTTTTATTCAACAATTTTATAATAAAAAGGGGTTTTGGGGTTTTGGGGTTTTGGGGTTTTGGGGTTTTGGGGTTTTGGGG